AAAAAAAAATAAACGATCACGTGACCAGGTATGACGTCATCAAAAAAAATAAATGATCACGTGACCAGGTATGACGTCATCAAAAAAAAAAATAAACGATCACGTGACCAGGTATGACGTCATCAAAAAAAAATAAACGATCACGTGACCAGGTATGACGTCATCAAAAAAAAATAAATGATCACGTGACCAGGTATGACGTCATCAAAAAAATAAAAGATCACGTGACCCTTTTTTAATGACGTCATACTTGGTCACGTGATCGTTTATTTTCTTGATGACGTCATACCTGGTCACGTGATCGTTTATTTTTTTTGATGACGTCATACCTGGTCACGTGATCGTTTATTTTTTTTGATGACGTCATACCTGGTCACGTGATCGTTTTTTTTTGATGACGTCATACCTGGTCACGTGATCGTTTATTTTTTTTGATGACGTCATACCTGGTCACGTGATCTTTTATTTTTTTTGATGACGTCATACCCGGTCACGTGATCGTTTTTTTTGATGACGTCATATTTGGTCACGTGACCTTTTTATTTTTTGATGACGTCATACCTGGTCACGTGATCGTTTATTTTTTTTTGATGACGTCATACCTGGTCACGTGATCTTCTATTTTTTTGATGACGTCATACCTGGTCACGTGACCTTTTATTTTTTTGATGACGTCATACCTGGTCACGTGACCTTTTATTTTTTTGATGACGTCATACCTGGTCACGTGACCTTTTATTCTTTTGATGACGTCATACCTGGTCACGTGACCTTTTTATTTTTTTGATGACGTCATATTTGGCCACGTGACCTTTTTATTTTTTGATGACGTCATACCTGGTCACGTGACCTTTTATTCTTTTGATGACGTCATACTTGGTCACGTGATCGTTTAGTTTTTTTTTGATGACGTCATACCTGGTCACGTGATCGTTTATTTTTTTGATGACGTCATACCTGGTCACGTGACCTTTTATTTTTTTGATGACGTCATATTTGGTCACGTGATACTTTATTTTTGATGACGTCACTTCCGGTCACGTGACCCTGTTTGATGACGTCACTTCCGGTCACGTGACTTTCATTCCCAATGATATAATTCTGATTCACGTTTGAACAATTGTCATGAAAAAAATCACAAGAGCGGAAGTGACGACACGGGAAATGATTGTTCTTATAACTTACCGCCACATATCCCTTCTTCCCACGAAGTTTTCTCCACCAGAAGATACTATTCCCGAAAGATACGTCACGAGAGTGACTTTGAACGTGCTAAAAGAGTGATGAGGTGCAGAGCGAGTTGGATGGAATGAAGAAGTGACTTTTCCGTAAAGTATAATAAAGTTTGGTGGAGCAAGGAGAAAGGACAACTGAGAGGAGATGCACTCAGAAAAAAAATTGAAAAAAAAAAACTATAGGAAAATGGAGGGATGCCTGAGGGAGGCTTTGAGATAGGAATGGGAAGAAACGATTTCTGGGCTCACCGTGGTATTCTCCAGTTTACTCGTAAAGCAGTTACGAAGTAGTTAAGCTATGCCGTGAAAACTTGGCACGAACGATGGTATAACGCGTGGATGCATTAAGAAATTGACAATCGACGATGAGTGTGAATTCCCGGGCCCATAACTAGATACCAGGCCTGGGTTTTCATCTCTATGTAACGTATAACAATATATCACTGAGTTGTAAAACCCTAGTCCCAGTCATTTTCCACTCCACCTACAGCCTCTCCTGGACACGTATAGAAATTGCTAGTCGATAACTTTGTACCCGAGAAATTCACTTAACTGAATTTCCCATTCTCGTTATTGAATTTCACAGTGAATCCCCGAAACACTTTCAGGTGAATACCAAACTGAGTCACAGAAATTTTTTTTTCCTCCGATAAATGCGTTCGATTGTCACTACAGAATTTGCATGTTCCGTTTCTATCTTCTATTTTATTCACTCCAAAAATGTTGTGTTCCACTAGTTGTTCGATTTAAAATGATGGCATGGCTTTTCGCCTCTCCTTTATTCAACCTATTGCGATATTTTCGGGTGTTTCTATTGAGTCACGTGATGTTTATTTTCATTACTATTCTTATCAACAGTTGTGGATGAATAATGGATTATGATTTTTCAGTGCGAAGAACGTTGAAGAATGGACTGTCGGAGGAGGAGAAGAAGCACATTGCTGCGTACATAAAAGGCTATTGAATCTATATTATTACGATAACTGTGATATATAATGTACGCCATTGATGCCTCAGACGTTTTGAGGTGAAGAAGATGCAAAGTTTTCGTGAAATTCTCGGTGAATAAATAGAATGGATACGGTACGATTGTAAAAAGGCAAAGGAAGAGTATTTCTCAGTAAAAATAAGGGTCGAGGCAAATTCAATAGACCATATCATCTACGAAAATATATATTTTTTGTGGTTTTTCCGGGGATGGAAATGTATATGCACCACAAGCAGCACGATAGATCGACTAGACACAGCCTTACAATATCTTTTTCACTATTAAAATATTTTCAATTGAATGAGAACGCATGTTGACTTGATATTTTACCTGTGAATGCGTCAGTGTTTGTTTTCCTTCCTCTCCCTCTTCTCTACCCTCGACTCGGCTGATTAACGAAAAATGTAACACCATCACGACTTTTACGTAAATTTCCCTACGTTCACTCGTGAATTTTCACAATTTCCACCACTCGAGTTTGACTTTAAAAAAAATTATTCGATTTTTCACTCTCCGCAATTATCCGAAGTTTCACCGATATTTTATTCCAAAATCCAAACTGAACGGTATATAGTCGATCCATCGTGCTTTACTGTGATAAGCTGAAAAATATTAAAAATTCACTCAGTGGAGTTGTTTTTCGAAAATAATCGGAGATATTTGTGGCTTTTAAAATCAAGACTCAGAGTCAACTGCCTTATTTGTATACGAGAATATAGATGCACGATGAGATTTACACTAGCCTTTAATGTTTATTTTATTATCGAGAGGATATGAGTGGAGAATAATTATGTGAATACATTTCTGTGACTGATGTTTCATGAAATAAAGATAATTGATTAAATTACGTCTGGATTATGTTTATTTGTTTGGTTCTCTGTGACTCTATGTGATCAGGAATTTGCGATGAGATAATCAAATAATTGGAGAGGGGCTTTTTTTTAACAAAATGTGTACGTGACACATGATTTATTATTAACCTTCATCCAACTTTAACAACATACAATATAATGTAGTAATAAAACGTACTTTTAGTTTTACTGTAATAATGATAGCGACGAGAACGTCCATTTTCTTATTTTTTCTCTTAAAATCTTTCACGCACTCTGAAACACTCACGCTCAAGAAAAAATTTATTAACTTCAAATTGAATTTCAATTTCAATTTCAATTGCACATATTACAAATTTTCTTATCGACTTATTCATGAGATGTTGGATTTTTCAATAGTTCAAAGTTGTTGTCAGAGTACCGAGGAAGTAGAAATTTTACAATTTTGGGGGTACCTTATCTAGGAGACATTCGCGGATAAGCCGAGGAATGGGAATATACAGAAGCACTTGAAGGGTTCAATCGAAATGATGAGGAAGATTATGAGGAAGGGCCCAGACTCACTCGTCCACAAAATTTAAATGACATATTTTTTTTTATACTTTTCCCATTTCGTTAAAAAATCACTTTCGTTCTGAGATATAGGCTGATTTTCACTCTAAACATCATTCAAATATCAATCACAATCTCACTTTGTGCCAACACATTCAGTAGAAGCACATGCACATGAAAGAGTTCACAAATTTCTCTCTTTAAAATAAAAAATAACAAAGAAATAAGTACATCTTCAGCACCTTTTAAATCCTTTAAAATCACTTTCAGGATCATGTCCACCCATTAGTTGTGACGTCTAGTTGATGAATTTAAGTTGTTTCACAAAATTTTGGCCAGAAGGGTCAATCTCAGAAGTTGGGAGCTCACCCAAGATTTTCTTGGCTGTGGGTATAGCCACCTCCTCCCCCTTTCCCTCCCTCAATCCCCTTGTATTTCCACCGTCATTCACCCTTTGTATTATTTTGCGCTGTATACCTGTTTCTGGCAGCTCTCTCACTTCTGGCACACCTCGTTACCAAGTAACTTGTATTTCACCCACCTCCTTCCTTTTAGGATAGAACCAGCAGTGATGACGTTTTCCAAGCAGCCCGTTGGAGAATGGCCCACAACCCCGATGACAACCTCGATAAGTATCCTCCAGTGAACTACCCCCTCACAGTTCATCGTGCTTTGGACCACTGAACTCATCGTGAGAGATGAAGCCATTCTTATCCTTGTCCTCGTGTTGGAAAATCTCTTCAACTAATTTGTCGTGGTCTGCAACCATTGTCTTTATGTCCTCGCTGTCACCTGCTTGCTCTGCCTCCACCATCTGTTTTCGCAGGTAGTCACTGACCTGAGGAGCAAACAACCATTATTTTTTTATTAATTATAAAAATAAAGTATCTCATTTAATTATGCTTCACCTATCCTGTGGGCATTTAATTTCCCGAATTTTTTCCGTTGAAATCCCTCAATTTATCAATTCTTTCCCCTAATAATTGTTTTAATTAATTCTTGTTGTCTTAAAGAAAATATTAGGTAATTATTTTATATGTTCCCTCGATCCCTCAATTTCAGAGATAATTCATTTTCGCTGTTAACTTAACGAAAAACTCGTGCTGCAACTTCTAATCACCCGATTCTCAAGAGATTTTAGAATACACATGCAGCCATCACCACATAAAAATTCCCATTCCACAAGGGCAATTAAAAATCGATCTTGCCATTATCCTCACCTCCTCGCGAGAGAGCTGATTGTCCTCGTCCGAGTCAATCTCTTTAAATACATTAGCAGTTGGTGGTGAATCACTGATATTGATGAGCTCCACATCGAAGAGTAAAGTAGCACCTGAAATCAAGAAAAATTAATAAACTCCCGTGAAAAATCATACAAATCCAAAACTTCAATCTCAGCCTCTCCATCTTTCCCTTACGATGCACCCTTCCCAACATGACAATACCATCAGCTACAGTCCAACCTCGTAAATCATTTACTGGCCAGCAGTAAATGATGGATACATGGGCAGATACAAGTATATATAGGTATTTCGTTGATATCAACTGGATGGTTGGACACGAGGGATTTACAGAGTATCGGATACGTCGCGTCGAATCAACCGTCAATGGGAAGTGGGAAGTATTTGGGAGGATGAGATGGGACAGACATCCCTTTCACGTTGATCGTTCTCGCTGGATACCACCTGACGATATCCCCTCGTGTTCAATAAATTTCAGCGCGCATCGATTAAACAGAGAGATGAACAAAAGCTGAATTGAGATATATATTTTAGTCATCGAGGTAAATGACGAAATAATCTCGTGTAATCAAATTATAATCACCTGAAGAAATGACATGGGAAGAATTTCACCTTTTCATTATCAATCATCTCCAGAAAAAATTAATCCC